AATCTGAGGAAGTGGGTCTGGCCCACAAAAGCTCATCATCTAATAAACCATCTTGTTAGTCTTTAAAGTGCTACATAGTCCTGTATTTTGTTTCAGCTACCCTAGACTAACACGGCTACATTTCTGTCACTATTCAGTTTAGTTATTGTGCAGTGACCTTGAGATAAAAGATCTAAATTTCCATGTACCTAGCATGCAGTCAAGTATCAGAGGGGTAGCCGTGTTAGTCTGAATCTGCAAAAGCGGTGAGGAGTCCTGTGGCACCTTATAGACTAACTGAAGTGTAGGAGCATAAGCTTTCGTGGACAAAGACCCACTTCGTCAGATGCATGCAGTGTTGCTCAGAGACCACAGAAAAAGGTGTCAGCTTGTAATGGAGGTAGTATAATTACTCTAAAACTACCACCTTGGTGTATGTTGGCAAAGATTTATTGGCAGATTTTGTGGTCTGCTAACTTTAAACTGCTTGATGAATCAGATGCTGTTTCTTACTTCTAGGATGTGGCCAGTGCTTCTCATTTTACTTGAGGAAAAAGTAACTTTAAACTACTTGATGAATCAGATGCTGTTTCTTCTAGGATCTGGCCAGTGCTTCTCATTTTACTTGAGGAAAAAATTGCAGGCAGTTTTGTTGTTGTCAGTATTCTGTTGCAAAGTAACTATATACTTTTTTTAGTTCAGCTAACATAAGTCTTGGCCCAGTTCTAAATACTCTACCTAGCTAATAATGAGTGAACTAAACTGTGTTTTAAATAGGCTAAAATATAGTTTCCTAACTCTAGCTTTCTCTCTCCCTAAGGCCTAACACAAGTCAAACAAATTATTTTGAGGAAGTTCTATATTCTGCAGGTGGTTAAACTAGACAATCACAGTAGTATCTTCTGGCCTTATAATCCATGAATGTCTAACTGCAATTAAAATTTGGCCCAGGCTGTTTTCTGGCTTAACCATCTCTAGCGAGATGCAGGGATTTAGAGATTCCTGTACAGTGTTTACCACCCAACCTTGCAGTGATGTGCTAGAGCATGAGAACCTGAAGCTGACTACAAATAGACGTGACAAGGTGGATAAGTTAATATCTTTTATTGGGCCAAGTTGATCTCCATGAGAGGAGTAAGGTAAAAGCACTGGGAACCTGTTTACACTGGTATTTTACAGTGCTGTAACTTGATGCACTTGGGGGGGAGTGTTTCGCACCTCCGAGTGAGAAAATTACAGCACCATAACTTGCCAGTGTAGACCTGTCCTATGATTCCGTAAGTAAGCAGCAGATGCTTATTGCTAATGTAGCTGATGAGAAACATCCCTCTTCTACATATCTAAATGTTTGTATCTGTGTTCTACAGGACCCCCACATTGACTACATGGGGCACCGTAGGCGCTGTGGGATTGGTATGGGCCACAGATTGGAGATTGATCCTTGACTATGTTCCCTACATTAATGGCAAGTTTAAGAAAGATGAGTAAACTGCTGTTCTTCCCTCTAATGGTGAGTCTTCTGTTTTGTATTTATCAGGAGTGACTTGTGTACATTTTGTGGTTACATGCTATTTGATTTCACTGCGAACATAGAATCTAGCAATTTGAAACTGTAATATTCTGTCCAATACCTAGTCCTCAAAGAGAACTGTTGTGCTTTATCATGTAATTGTCTTCCTTGTACTGCGAGTAAGAGATGGCATTCTGACACTCTAGATAAAAAATTGTCCAATCCAGTTACATTATTAGTGCATCTCTGTGGAAACTAGCTAGTTATATTATTCTTCAGAGTGAGCCAGTGTAGTGTAGTGGATTTTTCTCAGTGTAAGTGTTCCCAGCTGTAAAAACACAGATAATATGTCACAAGGGTGTTAGCAGGATTACTTGATCCTTTATAGCAGATCTACTCAACTTTGGAAGCTCTGGGGGCCACAATGATACTCATAGCACATGTTGAAGGCCGCAACTTAAGTGTGGTTGCATATACATGCAAATATATATGCAAACAGATTCTTTCACACTGAGGGGCATGAATACAAAGATTAAGATGAGACTACACAACATTTAAGTCAGTTTTGATTATATTAATAAAATGCAGTATTTACCCCATTTCCACTCATATGACAGCACTTTTAATGAGCAATGACAGTCCAGGAATTTAACTACTAAATCGCATATCAACAGAAGACCATTATATTGAATACTTTTTTGTTTTGGCTCCTGCCTGTGGGCTGTGTTGAGCCCTGCGTAAACAAAAACTGCATTGCAGGCCGCAAACAAATGGGCCACATGCAGCCCGTGGGCCACGTGTTGAGTAGCCCTGCTTTATAGTGTCAAAGGGTGTTAAAGTTCTGCAGAAGAGCTCACAGTAATTACAATTATAACATGCATGTTCTGAGCTGATCTGCATTTAACTTCCTTACCTTATCCATCTCTTTCAGCTAGGGATCCATCTCTTTCAGCGAGTAGTCAACTAATATGTGATTTGTCCTTTTCATATTTGTTCATTTTTTTAATTGTATCCTTTGGTATATATGGTTGTGACTACTTTCTTCCACTATTTGATCTGAGGAAGTGGGTCTGGCCCACGAAAGCTCATCATCTAATAAACCATCTTGTTAGTCTTTAAAGTGCTACATTGTCCTGCATTTTGCTTCAACTACCCCAGACTAACACGGCTACATTTCTATCACCAATCTGGAGGGGAGCTAGAGCGTTGGAAAAACTTAACAGTAACAAGTCACCGGGACCAGATGGCATTCACCCCAGAGTTCTGAAAACTCAAATTTGAAATTGCAGAACTATTAACTGTGGCTTATAAGCTATTCTTTAAATCGGCTTCTGATCAACAAACATGTGGACAAGGGGGAATCCAGTAGATATAGTGTACCTAGGTTTCCAGAAAGCCTTTGACAAAGTCCCTCACGAAAGGCTCTTGAGTAAAGTAAGGGCATGGGCTAAGTGGAAAGGTCCTCTCGTGGATTGATAAATGGTTAAAAGGCAGGAAACAAAGGGTAGCAATAAATGGTAAGTTTTCAGAATGGAGAGCGGTAACTAGTGTCCCCCAAGGGTCTGTACTGGGACCAATCCTATTCAACACCTTTCTCCAGATTATTTATAAACAGCGAGGTGGCAAAATCTGCAGATACCAAACTCTTCAAGATAGTTTGGTGAGATCTTTTTGAAACTCTTCACAGTTTGCTTTGATCTTAACTAAGTGATTGGGCAACAAAATGGCAAATGAAATTTAATGTTGATAAATGTAAAATAATGCACATTGGAAAACGTAATCCCAACTATACATACCATAGACACTAATTTAGCTACAGCTACTCAAGAGAGCTCTTAGAGTCATTGTGGATAGTTCTCTGAAAACATCCACTCATTGTGCAGTGGCAGTCAAAAAAGCAAACCATGTTAGGAACCATTTAAAAAAAGGATAGAGTAGAAGACCAAGAACATATTATTGCCTCTATATAACACCATGGTATACTCACATCTTGAATACTGTGTATAGATGAGGTCGCCTCATCTCAAAAAAAAAAAAAAATACTGGCATTGGAAAAGGTTCAGAAAAGGGCAACCAAAGCGATGACAGTGTTTGGAACGGGTACCATATGAAGAGAGATTAAAAGGACTGGGACTTCTAACCTTAGAAAAGAGGAGACTGAGGGGGGCTATGATAGAGGTCAATAAAATCATGACTGGTGTGGAAAAAGTGAATATGGAAAAAGTTAATTACTTGTTCTCATAATATAAGTAGTAGGGGTAACCAAATGAAATTAATAGGTAGCAGGTTCGATGACAGTGTTTGGAACGGGTACCATATGAAGAGAGATTAAAAGGACTGGGACTTCTAACCTTAGAAAAGAGGAGACTGAGGGGGGCTATGATAGAGGTCAATAAAATCATGACTGGTGTGGAAAAAGTGAATATGGAAAAAGTTAATTACTTGTTCTCATAATATAAGTAGTAGGGGTAACCAAATGAAATTAATAGGTAGCAGGTTTAAAACAAAAGGAAGTTTTTCTTCACATAGTGCGTGGTCGGTCTGTGGACCTCCTTGCCAGAGGAGATTGTGAATGCCAGGACTTGAGCAGGGTTCAAGAAAGAACTAGATACATTCATGGAGGTTAGATCCATCAATGGCTATTAGCAGGGCTCGACAAACCTCTGATTCTACTCACCCATGGGGAGTAGATTTCAGCCGGTCGCTCCGTGCGCCCCGTTCACCGGCGCTGCGCACATGCGCAGTGCTGGTCTGGTGCATGCGCGGTTGCGGGGCTGGCGAGTAGCTCTCGCTGTGGTTTGTCAAGCCCTGGCTATTAGCCAGGATGCGTAGGAAGAAAGAACTGTTGATGGAGAAAGATCAGGTTAAGAACTATTTAGCAAAGCTAGACAGACACAAATCCATGGGTCCGGATTTAATGCATCCGAGGGTACTGAAGGAGTTGGCTGATGTAATTGCAGAGCCTTTGGCCATTAGCTTTGAAAACTTGTGGAGATCAGGAGAGGTCCCTGATGATTGGAAAAAGGCAAATGCAGAGCCCCTCTTTAAAAAAGGAAAGGACAATCCATGGAACTAACGACAAACCAGTCAGCCTCACCTCAGTCCCCAGAAAAATCATGGAGGGGATCCTCAAATCAGTTTTGAAGCACTTGGAAGAGGGGAAAGTGATCAGGAATAGTCAACATGGATTCACCAAGGGCAAGTCCTGCCTGACCAACCTGATTGCCTTCTATGACCAGGTAACTGGCTCTGGGGAAGGTGGGCGACATGGTATACCTTGACTTCAGCAAAGCTTTTGATATGGTCTCCCACAAGTTAAGGAAATATGGATTGGATAAATGGGACTGTAAGGTGGCTGGAAAGCTGGCTAGATTGTTGGGCTCAACAGGTTGTGTTCAACGACTCAATGTCTGGGCACTCCGCTTGAAACTGACCACCAGGCAAAGATCAGATCTAGGGGTGGTTTTGTTCAACATCTTTATTAATGACCTGGATGAGGGGTTGGATTGAACCCTCAGCAAGTTTGTGGATGACACTAAGGGAGGGGGAAAGGTAGATACATTGGAGGACAGGGATAGGGCCCAGATTGGGCCAAAAGAACTCGGATGAAGTTCAACAGGGATAAGTGCAGAGTCCTGCATTTGGGACAGAAGAATGCCAAACGCTGCTACAGGCAGGGGACTGACTAAGTAGCACTTCAGCAGAAAGTGGATGAGAAGCTGGATACGAGTCAACAATGTGCCCTTCTAGCCAAGAAGGCTCATGGCATATTAGGGTGCATGGTATTGCCAGCCGATCTAGAGAAGTGATTATTCCCCTTTTGTTTTCTGCATTGGTGAGGCCACATCTGGAGTATTGTATCTGGGCTCCCCCAGTATAGAAATGATGTGGACGCATTGGAGAGGGTCCAGCAGAGGGCAATCAGAATGATCAGGGGGCTGGAGCACATGACCTATGAGGAGAGGCTGAAGGATTTGGGCTTATTTAGTCTGCAGAAGAGAAGAGTGAGGGGGATTTGAGAGCAGCCTTCAATTCCCTGAAGGGGGTTTCCAAAGAAGATGGAGAGAGGCTGTTCTTAGTGGTGGCAGATGGCAGACTGAGGAGCAATGGGCTCAAGTTGCAGTGGGGGAAGTCTAGGTTGGATATTAGGAAAAACTTTTTCCCTAGGAGTGTGGTGAAGCACTGGAATGGGTTCCCTAGGGAGGGGGTGGAATCTCCATCCCTCGCTCTGGCTGAGATGGTTTAGTTGGTTTGGCCCTGCTTTGGGCAGGGACTGGACTTGATGACTCCTGAGATCTCTGCCTGCCCTAGGATTCTATGAATGGTGTCCCTAGCCTCTGTCAGAGGCTGAGAATGGGTGATGGGAGAAGGGGTTGCTTGATGCTTTCTCAGTTCTGTTCACTCCCTTTGGGGCATGTGGCATTGGGCCACTGTCAGAAGGGTTAGATCAGGATTACTCAACTTTGGAAGCCCGGTTGCTTGATGCTTTCTCTGTTCTGTTCACTCCCTTTGGGGCATGTGGCATTGGGCCACTGTCAGAAGGGTTAGATCAGGATTACTCAACTTTGGAAGCCCCGGTGGCCACAATGTTACTCTCAGCACACGCCGAGGGCCGCAACTTTAGTGTGGTTTCATATACATGCAAATAGCTCCTTTCACACAATGCGCTGGTGCTCCTAGCACATCCTTCCTGGGGGCCAGAAATGTCAACACCCTGTACCTGTCTGTTCCAGCCAGCCCATGCACTTGCGTCTTTCAATGCTCACCCCACCTGGGAGACGCCTCGCTGTTGTGGAGCTTGTTCCCAGTGGAGGCCATGTGTTGAACCCCGTGTAAACCCAAACTGCACTGCGGGCCACCAACAAATGGGCCGCATGTTGAGGAGCCCTAGGCTAGATGGACCTTTGGTCTGACCTTTCACACAATGCGCTGGTGCTCCTAGCACATCCTTCCTGGGGGCCAGAAATGTCAACACCCTGTACCTGTCTGTTCCAGCCAGCCCATGCACTTGCGTCTTTCAATGCTCACCCCACCTGGGAGACGCCTCGCTGTTGTGGAGCTTGTTCCCAGTGGAGGCCATGTGTTGAACCCCGTGTAAACCCAAACTGCACTGCGGGCCACCAACAAATGGGCCGCATGTTGAGGAGCCCTAGGCTAGATGGACCTTTGGTCTGATTCAGTATGGCTGTTCTTATGACTAGTCAACTAGTCCCTTGATTGTGAAGATTTCCCTTGGATTAAGGAATCACCAATCCAAAAGGGTTGGGGAAACAGTTGTCTGGGGAGAGTTCTGCATCTTGATATCTTTCCGTGGAAGAGACAATTGTATTTATGGTGCTTGATCCTATGGCATCTTGAGATAATTTCCTTTTGTTAAACACCAGCATATTTATCCAGCGCAGCTTGGGTCCTTAAGGGCAGGGAGCTGGGGTTGTGGGGGATGAGAGAGTCAGGGTTGGAGGGGCTCTGGGCAGGGGGGTAGAGGGGAACAGAGGCAAAGATTCCTACTAGGCCTGCTAGCTCTTCCCCTACCTGTCCCTGTCAGGGAGTGAGAGCAAAATTTGCAGGGGCAGATGAGCTGTGCTGCTCAGAATGAGGAATGCCACCAACTGTGCACTTCCCTCGCTTCCTGACAAGGGGAAGAGCTAGCAATGTCCCCTTCTCACACCCACTACCTGTCCTTCCTAAAGGGTTCCTGTGAGGTGGGAGGCTGGGGCAATCTCGGAGGGAGCTGAGGTGTGCTCCTAGCCATCCCCTTTCACCTGCCTGGGATTCTTCTCTCTTCTGTTTGATTTTATGAGAAGCAATCCCATTCCAGGCACATCCCATTGTCCTGGCACAACCAAACCCTGACCTTGCTTTAAGTTATCATAAGAGGAAGCTGTACACTAAATTTGGTGGTCCTGGCTCTTACCAGTTAGGAGCGTTCTTAGTCACTCTCTAATATATAGTTGACTGCTGGTTGTGTGGGGATTTTTGAATCTGAAAACACAGAACACATCATTAGAAACTAGGGAAAAAATGCTGTTTTCTTTTTAATAAAGAATAAAATTTTCCTTTAAAGTATTTGTAAAGGAGATTTGGTTCATTTTTCTGCGTTCCGCTATGTCACCTCACTTAAAGTGCAAGTTCTATTAGTAGCTTCATGAGGGGAACACAGTTCGGAATGGGGGCTAGAGCAGTGGTTCCCAGCCTGTGGGGTCCATGGCGGTGCTGTGGGGGGTGGGGATCCGCACGGAGCCTCTTGCAGCCAGCATGTCCTTCAACCCACGTTGCTTCCCGCAGCTTGGGAAGCAGCACAGGCTGAGGGACTTGCTGGCTGCTGGCACAGAGCCTCTCAGCTCCCTACCTTCCACAGACCCCCTACAATGTCCTTCAGCCCGTACTGCTTCTCCAGTGGGCTGAGGGACGCTGCTTGGGAAGTAGCATGTGCTGGGGGGTGTGCACGCTGCAGGCAGAGCTATATTGTTTGCGGGGGAGGAGAGGGGTCCGTATCCTTGAAAAGGTTTGGAGCCACTGGGCTAGAGTGTTAATGTGGGATTGATTTTACTTCTAAAAGTTGATAAATTGCTCTAGGAAACTTAGTGCGAAGTCATTTGCCATGCTAATTGTTGAGCCTGTTAATGGAAAGGCTCTAAAGTTGTGCTACAGAACCTAAATTAATGTAATAAGCCTTTACTCCACTTGAAGGAAGGGGCAATAAATACATGCAAGTGGATGAATGTGCACTATGATTTCAGGAACATGTCAATTAATGGCATTGACATGGATCATATTCAATTTGTATTCTACACATTGCATTTAGAAGCAGAAGTTTGATCTATAGTTGTAAGATCAGGGAGAAATTGCTTGTGAATCTGAAAGTGGAAGGTAACTGGGTAAAAGTGATCATGCAGTTACAGGTTTCATGATCCTAACAAAAAGAAGGAGCAAGAGCCACAGAATAAGGACCATGAGCTTCAAAAAATTCAGACTTTAACAAACTTGGAGAACTGGTAGGAAAGATCCTATGGGAAGCAAATCTAAAAAAGAAGAGTTCAGGAATGCTGGCAGTCTCTCAAGGACACAATATTAGTGTACAACTCTAACCCATTCCTATTCAAAGGAAGGATGAGAAGACTATATCAGGAGTGCCTTAATGACCTAAACATGTAAAAGAAATCCTACAAACATTGCAAAGGAGCAATGTGAAAGAACAGCATGTAAGAACAAAATGTGTGAAACCTAGCAAGGGACATAAAAGGTGATAAGAAATGGTTGTTTAAATACATTAGGTGCAAGAGAGTGATGAAGGAAAGTGTGAGTGCTTTGCTTATTAACTGTTTTGTTCTTTTTAATCGTAGGAACCATGGGCTGGACTGGGTGTATTGGATCCATTCTTCCTCCTGGAGACCCTAGTCTGATGTGAATTTGAAATGCTCATTGTGGACTTCAGAAGAGGCCGTGATGTTACTTAATCTCTACTGAACAGTTATGAACAGTCACATTTGATTTAACATGCTGGCTGCACAAATATGTGAATATGCTTCTGGGTTACTTTCACAGAAGGTCTCATTCTGATGAGCTGAATTCATAAAACAGATGTACAAAATAAATTCTAAACTGAATAACTTGTGGTAAGTTGACCCTTCCTTGTGGAAGCTATTCTGAAGAAAGGTATCTTCTTTGGGCTGCATATTACCAGCCTTTGGCAGCTCACTTGGGTTATGTGATGGAGGTTAAACTTAAATTCATAACTCTCAAATGCAATCTGAGAAATGACTCTCGTCCTCCAACCATTAGTGCCATTAACATGGATCCAAAGTATTCAAATGTTCAATTTCTGTAGAGTCCTCTGATGGTTTACTTCTAACAGCTGGTGCTGTAAAGTAGCATGATAATTCCACTGAAAGGGTAGGTAACTGAAACTTCAGTATTCCAATGACCGGGGCTCGACATACTGCTGATTCTGCTTGCTCATGGCGAGTAAATTTCACCCGGTCGCTCCGTGCTCCCCATTCACCGGCACTGCGCGCATGCACAGCGCCGGTCTGGTGCATGCACGGTGCGGGGCTGGCAAGCAGCTTTCACCGCCGTTTGTCAAGCCCTGCCAATGGCTATTTCATTACAACTGAATTAACTTTAGTGTACCTTACCTTATGAAAAATAAACATGTGATGGAACAATCTAACACCAGCACACTTTTTAGATGGAAATTCCTCAAGCAGTTGAGGAGGAGGAAGGAGTTGGGATTTGTGATGGCACAGTCCTTTGTGCCCTCAACTCAAATAGCAGAAGCATCAAACATAACATGTCAGTCAGGCAGGGTTGTCCTGATGGGTTCCTGACACGTCTTCTGTTCCATCAATGATGATAAACTTTTGCCTGCATGCATGTGCTCCCCTGTCTAATCTGTTAGCTATGCACAATTAGTCAACATGACAGTGTCCAAGAGAGCCCCCAGAGACCACAAATCAGATAAGGATCGAAAGCATCCGGCTAGGTTTATTGCCAAGCAAAGTACAATAATAGCGAACAGACTCTCCACTGTACCACTATACATGTGTACATCGTGACAACTGACTAACACCCAATCAATACTCTGGATTTAGTGCTGCCCCCATGATCAGCTGACAACCACTTTTTGGGGGGCACTTTTATACACTGGTACAAACAAGTTACACATTGCTCCTGATGTACAAGGTTGCCACCCTCTGTTAGCTAGTTATCTTACCTCATAGAAAGGGAGGTTTCCATTACTATCCATCATGCTGTCTACTTAGACCTGAGCCTGGGCTGGTATGTGTATTATCTGTGGGTATGTGTTGGTACCAAGACGTATGTTAATGAGGGGTTCTGTTATGACCCCTCTAGAATATGCTTACAGCCTGTGCCTAGCACATCTTAGGTATGAGTGTTCTTGCCAGTTTTTGTGAGCAGGGCCTGCCTCTTGCTAGCAACCTAATCTGCTTTATATTAGCAAAGATTTGACCATTGCTGTCTAGGTGTCCAGCCTCATACCTGGCCTGTGATACGTGAGCTTATGTTTCAGGCCCTTATCTTATTACAGCATGAATATCCTCTTAACTATTAAAGACTAAAAATATGTTCTCTTCCATTACAGTTTACGAAGGCTTGTCCTTTCATATACACACACACAGCGCAGCACTGGTTTTGTTTCAATGTTTTAATCTTTAATTCTACCTTTCAGAATCTTTCATGTAATGAATGACTTAAATGGAAACCATTTTGAAGCTACATTGGTATTTGAATGTTGGAGAGTTTAGTTCAGTGCTGAAGGCTTTAAATTGCAAGTAAAACTGAGGTCTGGCTTTAGGTCCTAGTCACTCTTTGCAACCAGAACAATTAATTTAAATGGAGCCTTGAGAGAGGAGGAAAAAACTAAAATTAAATGTCATACGTCCAGTAATGTTACGTCTGAAAACTCAAATATGCTGGCCTGAAGCAATGGTAACATTAGTGATAGTGTAGTGTAGGTTAACATTCTTGTATGATCCTTATAAGGTCTCTAGCCACAGTAACCTCCATGGAAACTTAACCAATGCACCTGGAAACTGCCACATCTTATCAGGGTAGAATTTTTCACGCTAGTAAGCTTCATTTAAGATGTCTTAGAATCTGCTGATTTCTACAAGAGAACTTCTCCAGTTCTATAAGTGTCTTAGTACTTGGCCTTAAAGGTCAAAAGTGATTTGATTTACAGACTCTGTACATGTTTGACTGATCATCCTGATCCTGGAGTTTCATGAAGATGCATGGGGAGTGATGAGCTAAAATGGGTGGGAGAACAATACATCCGATGGGGGCGGGGAACAACAGATTTTGTGAGCTCTAGACTAAGGCCACGAGGGAGCTGCTGTGGCTTAGGATCCTTGGAACTACCATTGATTCCTTACGTTGCTATTGGCAACAGTAGCTTTAAGTGCCCCCACCCCTTTTGACTCCAGAAAACTCTTCAAAGGTCTGTGTTTCATTTTGTGCATGCTCTTCTCTTGTCAAAACTCTGCTTTTCCCAATACCATTTTTAGGTGAAATCAAGCAGGTGATCTCTTCTTTCATTATACCTGGTTTTACCTATTCAGTTACATATCTAAGGTGAGTATGCTTATAAATATTACTGCTGATATTTGACAGATCGTTTCCTAGTTGAGCTCTAGGAAATGACTTAATTTTAGTCCAATTCCTGATGGAAGGGTAGGGATCCATCTTTCAGAATTGTCAACAGCTAACATTAACTCAAACTCCTATTGCAATTCTAGGAGGGTGTGTACAGGTCCTGTGTGGCACCTGCTCTTTACAAAGGAATGAGAATTTCTGAAGACCTGTCTGCAGATGTCGCCTCTTAAAAGGTGTTAGTTTCTATATAGAAACCGTAATAATACGATGCGGATGGGATGAGGTCAGTGAGGGTTACAGAGAGACTTTATTTTCAAGTACCAACTTGCCACTGTATTTAGGCACTTTCAGAAGCAGGTAGCCTGTGGATTTCTTTGGCTGTATAGAAGCACAAGTGGCTGAACTGCTCCAATGATGGCTGCTTATCTGATTGACATCGAGTTATCAAATTAATTATTTACGTCAGGGGTGGCCAACACGTTACAGACAAAGAGCCAAAATAGTGGTGGATACCGTGCAAAGAGCCGAGGGAAATAAATTGTTGAGCCAAAAAAATAAACACCTCTGCCCCTTTAACAGTGGAGTGTGGCCCAAGCAGGCTTCCAGTGGCCACAGAGTCAGATCTCGCTGCCCCAAGTGGTGCCCTGACCAGACAAGGAAAAAAGTTCAGCGCAGGGGAACGCAAAACAGCCGTGGGTGCAGGAGCCACAACTTTGCCTTTGAAGAGCCGCATGCAGCTCACAAGCCACGGGTTGGCCACCCCAACTTACACTGTTACTAATCTAGTTGCAGGAGAAAGCTTGGCAGCATTTTTAGGCATTTGGTGCAAGAAATGTAATAAAATACTTCCAGTAA